ATGTCCTGTTTAAGGAAAAATGTGGGGTGTAATATTATGCAGAAAATCGGAGTGGTGGAAATTAGGAGAAGGTGTGGAGTTAATAAAAGTATTAGTCCAAGGGCAAAGAGGGTTGTTAAAGGGGGTTTTTGGTCATTTAGAGAGAATGGACCCAAAGTAGAATGACATGGAAAGCATATAAATCTATAGGGGAAGGAAGGCGGGGGTAGGGGTCGTCCTCGAAAGGGTTGGAGGGGGGGGGGTTTAAAAGGAGGTTTTGTGGGCAAGGGGCTTGGATTTCCCAGCAAGCGTGCGTGAGCGTGTTAGATAGGAGTGAATGGAGCCCGAATGATACTTGGGACCTGACGATCTTTTTGGAGTGTGAGCAGGGTAATATTTAGTGAAGGGATTCAGGGAAACCGGTTATTTTCCTCTAGTCGGACTTGGGGTCCTGGAAATGGGAAGTACAATGCCTGCATTTTAAAGGAGGGGTTTTGGGATATGGCAGTTTTGGGGGGATATTTTGTGTATCTATATACGTATATGCTTCTAAACTGTTGTATTCTGAGCACCTCTGCAAAGCAGTGATAATGTGTGAGTGTGGTGAAAGTGTTGAATGATGATGAATGTATTTTCTTTTTGGGGATTTTCTTTCTTTTTTGGGTCACCCTGCCTCGGGGGGAGACGACCGACTTGTTGAAAAAAAAAAAAAAAATTATATATATATATAATATATATATATATATATTATATATAATATATATATATATATATATACAGTGGACCCCCATAGCGAACGCCTTGCATAGCGAACATTCCGCATACGAACGCTTTGATCGCTAAAATTTTGCCCCGATAGTAGACAAAAACCCGCTCAGCGAACTTCGTCCGAGACGCGTCCAATGTGCGGCCTCGGCCAGCCTCACATGTGCCGCCTGTCCCATTGTTTACCAGCTAGCCTCCGCGGTAACATTCAAGCATACACTCGAATATTTCGTATTATTACAGTGTTTTCGGTTCTGTTTGTTGAAAATAAGTGACCATGGGCCCCAAGAAAGCTTCTAGTGCCAACCCTGTGGTAAAAAGGGTGAGAATTAGTATGGAAATTAAGAAAGATTTTGAAGGGTTTGGGGCTAACCCTGAGAAGCCTATGCCAGTTGTGGAATCCATTGTGCCTACTTCAAAAATTAAGGAAATGTGTGCACAGTGGGTTGAACTGCAAACCTTTATGGATGAAAATCACCCTGACACAGCTGTTGCAAGGCGTGCTGGTGACATTTCAATGACAATGTTATGGCCCATTTTAGACAAATCGTAAAGGAACGGGAGGTACAGAGCTCTATGGACAGAAAGAAGTCCAGTGACTCTGAAGCTGGTCCTAGTGGCATTAAAAGAAGAAGGGAAGTAACCCGCGAAAAGGACTTGCCTCCTCAAGTGTTAATGGAAGGGATTCCCCTTCTAAACACTAACACTCTCTCTCCCCTCCTCCCATCCCATCAATCATCACCAGATCTTCAATAAAAGTAAGTGTCATGTAATTGTGCATGCTTTTTTCAGTTTGTGTGTAACTAAAATTAACATTTTTTTGTGGTAAAAAAATTTTTTTTTCATACTTTTGGGTGTCTTGCACGGATTAATTTTATTTCCATTATTTCTATGGGGAAAATTAATTCGCATAGCGAACATTTCGCATAACGACCAGCCCTCTTGCACGGATTAAGTTCGCTATGCGGGGGTCCACTGTATATATATATATATATATATATTTTTTTTTTTTTTTTTTTTTTTTTTTTTTAAACAAGTCGGGCCGTCTCCCACCGAGGCAGGGTGACCCAAAAAAGAAAGAAAATCCCCAAAAAGAAAATACTTCATCATCATTCAACACTTCACCACACTCGCACATTATCACTGTTTTTGCAGAGGTGCTCAGAATACAACAGTCTAGAAGCATACACATATAAAGATACACAACATATCCCTCCAAACTGCCAATATCCCAAACCCCTCCTTTAAAGTGCAGGCATTGTACTTCCCATTTCCAGGACTCAAGTCCGACTAGAGGAAATAACCGGTTTCCTTGAATCCCTTCACTAAATTTTTACCCTGCTCACACTCCAACAGATCGTCAGGTCCCAAGTATCATTCGTCTCCATTCACTCCTATCTAACACGCTCATGCACGCCTGCTGGAAGTCCAAGCCCCTTGCCCACAAAACCTCCTTTACCCCCTCTCTCCAACCCTTTCGAGGACGACCCCTACCCGCCTTCCTTCCCTATAGATTTTATATGCTTTCCATGTCATTCTACTTTGACCCATTCTCCCTAAATGACCAAACCACCTCAACAACCCTCTTCTGCCCTCTGACTAATACTTTATTAACTCCACACCTTCTCCTAATTTCCACACTCCGAATTTCTGCATAATATTTAAAACCACACATTGCCCTTAAACAGGACATCTCACTGCCTCCAACCGTCTCCTCGCTGCTGCATTTACCACCCAAGCTTCACACCCATATAAGAGTGTTGGTACTACTATACTTTCATACATTCCCTTCTTTGCCTCCATAGATAACGTTTTTTGACTCCACATATACCTCAACGCACCACTCACCTTTTTTCCCTCATCAATTCTATGATTAACCTCATCCTTCATAAATCCATCCGCCGACACGTCAACTCCCAAGTATCTGAAAACATTCACTTCTTCCATACTCCTCCTCCCCAATTTGATATCCAATTTTCTTTATCTAAATCATTTTACACCCTCATCACCTTACTCTTTTCTATGTTCACTTTCAACTTTCTACCTTTACACACATTCCCAAACTCATCCACTAACCTTTGCAATTTTTCTTTAGAATCTCCCATAAGCACAGTATCATCAGCAAAAAGTAACTGTGTCAATTCCCATTTTGAATTTGATTCCCCAAAATTTAATCCCACCCCTCTCCCGAACACCCTAGCATTTACTTCCTTTACAACCCCATCTATAAATATATTAAACAACCATGGTGACATTACACATCCCTGTCTAAGACCTACTTTTACCGGGAAGTAGTCTCCCTCTCTTCTACACACCCTAACCTGAGCCTCACTATCCTCATAAAAACTCTTTACAGCATTTAAATAACTTACCACCTATTCCATATACTTTCAACATCTGCCACATTGCTCCTCTATCCACTCTATCATATGCCTTTCTAAATCCATAAATGCAATAAAAACTTCCCTACCTTTATCTAAATACTGTTCACATATATGCTTCAATGTAAACACTTGATCTACACATCCCCTACCCACTCTGAAACCTCCTTGCTCATCCGCAATCCTACATTCTGTCTTACCTCTAATTCTTTCAATTATAACCCTACCGTACACTTTTCCTGGTATACTCAGTAAGCTTATTCCTCTATAATTTTACAGTCTCTTTTGTCCCCTTTCCCTTTATATAAAGGAACAACATGCTCTTGCCAATCCCTAGGTATGTGGTCCTCCTTACCTTTTTTTCCCCTTTGGACTTTTTTTCAAAAGTGGTTTTCCTACCTTCCATTTAAACCTTTTTTTCTAAATAAATAAGATCGGGAGTTTTTTGGGCTGATCCTCATGGATTGTACTTTTTGATTTTAAAAAGTTGACACAAGTTCGGCCCTTTTTGGGTTTGTTGCTATTAGTTACTTTTGTACAGGGGTTTATCCCTTGTCCCCTCTTGAAGTTTATAGTCCTCCTCCCTTCTACAAACCATTTTCACTTCCTCCTTTCTAAGTTTAATGGATTCCCTCCTAAATCCTATGATTCACATAAAGTTCTAATTTAAGTTTTTTTATGCTTGTTCCCCCCATTGCTATCTTTAGTTTTTCTCTTATCTGTCCTTCCCAAACCTCCTTCCTTTTAGTGTTTTTCTCAATCAGTTTTCCCCCAAATCCTTTCCTTAATGTTCAGCTTGATGGACAGCCCCCACATCAAACTTGATCACATACCAGATCCCACATCAAACTGGATCACATACCAGACCACCATCAATTTGGATCAATACAAATGCACATTAAGTTTGATCATGTACCAGGTCCCACATCAAGCTTGATTACATACCAGGTCCCTCATCAAACTTGATTACATACAAGGTCCCTCATCAAGTTTGATCACATACCAAATCTCACATGAAGCTTGATTACATACCAAACCTCACATCAAGCTTTATTACATACCACATCTCACATCAAACTTTATTACATGCCAGACACCACATCAAGCTTGACACGCACCAGACATGACTGCTGTACTGTCCAAACACCTCAACGAAACTTAAATTCTGTGCTTTGTCATACATAAGAATACATACAGCGCTCGTGGTTATAAATATCGTTGTAATTTTTGCAGTCATATAAAAGAAACACTAGGCAGAAGGCTCCTTTTGCATTGTCTCAACACTTAGGCTCACCTCAAGTAAATGCAAGAATTTCTTGCCCCAAAATTTGATTACGTATAAAGTAAACAGTAAAGTGAAACTGAACAAAGAAATATTCCCAAATGAAAGTCCCTTTTTCAGTAGGACCTGCAGCTTGGCAAACAAAAACTTATATCAACAGTGCAGATGGTGAATTGCAGATTTTTGGGAAGCACCTTAGCAAAAAAATTTTTTAGTAATTTTTCTATAGTTCTTATAGGGCTTAAAAATATTTCCTTAAAAAACTGCATGCATTTGGTAAAAGATTTAGAAATCCTATTTTTTTTTTTTGGGGGGGGGGAGTAAATTTTTTTAAAAATTATACAGAAAGGTTACAAGAGTTCATTAAATTGAATTACAGTACCTTTGCTGGAGATAAAAGTTATTTTTGAAGGGGCAGAAAGTTGCTTGTTTTGCAGTAGAAATTGATACATTTATTATGGACATGCAAGATTTTTAAATTCAGTTTAGTTTATTTGCAACCTTATTATTATTTGAAGGCAACACAGGTGATTGTTCTTCTTATTTAGTAACATTGTTTTGCTTAAGCAGCAAGTGTTTGTGCTTACCTTCAGGTTCAATAATGCTACTGCTTATGATCTGCTGCCTCTGTATTGCAACTGTGCGATCGCAACAACAACGAAGAAAAGTATATGGCTTCCACCAGCTTAACCATTCTGTTGATATATTCAATGATTCTTCATCAGCATCTGAAGGTGAAACAACTACAGACTTAATCAGTGTGGGAGGAGGAGCAAAGAACAAGATTAAAAGTAAGTCATTATGTTTTCTTGATCATTTTGAGGGAATTATTAAGGAATATGTTTATATCAGGTTTGGCCATTTAGAGAGAGTGGAACAAAGTACAATGACTTGGAAAGCATATAAATCTGTAGGGGAAGGAAGGGGCCATCCTCGAAAAGGTTGGAGGGAGGTTGTAAAGGAGGGTTTGTGGGCAAGGGGGCTTGGACTTCCAGCAAACATGCATGAGCATGTTAAATAGGAGTGAATAGAGATGAATGGTTTTTGGGACCTTATGAGCTGCTGGAGTGTGAGCAGGGTAATATTTTGTGAAGGGATTCAGGGAAACTGGTTAGCCAGACTTGAGTCCTTGAAATTTGAAGTACAATGTCTGCACTTTACAGGAGGGGTTTGGAATATTGGCAGTTTCGGGGTACATCAAAACTGTCATATCTGAGTGCCTCTGCAAAGACAGTGATTATGAATGAGTGATGGTGAAAGTGTTGAATGATGATGAAAGTTTTTTCTTTCTTTTTGGGTCACCTTGCCTTGGTGGGAAATGGCCGACATGTTAAAAAAAAATTATATCAAGTGAATGTGTTTTTATCAGGTAAATATGACTATACAGCCTCTCCTCACTTAATAATGGATTTCTCTTCCTAAGACCATGTCAGTAAACAAATTTGTTGCTTAGCAAGGAGCATACTATAATGGTAGTGGGTTTGTGTCACCCATCTTTGATATTGTTTTAATGTCACCTTTGAAGATTGAGACACTTATGCAACGTATGGGAATCTTTATTCAGGAAACGTTTCGCCACACAGTGGCTTCATCAGTCCAATACAAAGTAGAAAGGTGTAAGGAGAGGAGGAGTTTGAGGTAATCAGTCCCTCAGCCTGGAGTCGATGTGTTCAGTCCATCAATCTTGTAGAATGTACAGCATAGGGCCGTAGACATGGCTTATATACTGTAGTGAGGTGAGGCGAAGCAGGAGGAGGTGGGGTCATAGTGATATCATCCACTAGTCGAAGTAGGTCTTCGTCCAAAGGTTGGACAAGTGTTGAAGAATTCTTTGTAACAAGATCCCATGATGCTGCAGTGTCTGACAGTTGTGATGAATGGCTTGAAACACCGACAAGTTGAAGATTGAGACACTTATGCAACATATGGGAATCTTTATTCAGGAAACGTTTCGCCACACAGTGGCTTATCAGTCCAATACAAAGTAGAAAGGCGTAAGGAGAGGAGGAGTTTGAGGTAATCAGTCCCTCAGCCTGGAGTCAATATGTTCAGTCCATCAATCTTGTAGAATGGTTTTTCAAACCATTCATCACAACTGTCAGGCACTGCAGCATCATGGGATCTTCTTACAAAGAATTCTTCAACACTTGTCCAACCTTTGGACGAAGACCTACTTCGACTAGTGGATGATACCACTATGACCCCACCTCCTCCTGCTTCGCCTCACCTCACTACAGTATATAAGCCACGCCTACAACCCTATGCTGTACATTCTACAAGATTGATGGACTGAACATATCGACTCCAGGCTGAGGGACTGATTACCTCAAACTCCTCCTCTCCTTACGCCTTTCTACTTTGTATTGGACTGATGAAGCCACTGTGTGGCGAAACGTTTCCTGAATAAAGATTCCCATATGTTGCATAAGTGTCTCAATCTTCAACTTGTTTTTATCCACATTGGTATATTACCAGCCTTTCTAGTAATATGTCATTGTGGGCAATGAAGCTAAGGTGGGGCCAAAAATGGACAGAGTGAACTGTCAAAACCAAATCAGCAACAGCAGTCCCAGAAAACAGTTGCCACATGAATATTTCAAACTTGCAGTGGCATGTAAAGGAGAAGACAATATAGGTGCTGAAGCCTTGCAGTCAAAGAGGACAAAGATTAAGGCTATGTTCCAAATCATAGATGAGACATCTCTAAGGGTAAAAATGGTGGCAGAGAAAGATCATTGAATGTGAGATACAAAGAATATAGAGATTCAACACTGATGACAGATCTTTTGGACAGCATGCAGGATAAGGAGAGCCGAAGAAGACTGAACAATGCTCCCTTGACCTGAGGCAGGCACCTGGAGCCAGGTGGATGGTGCAAACCAAACCTGTATGGTGAGCACAACTCAGAGAAGTAACTGAGCTCAAAAGAAGAAAAGCAGCTTACACAAGAACAGAGAAGTACTACTAGAAGTGCGACAGACATGTCAGCATTGCAAAAGAGAGGAGGGCCCTGCCCTCACAACACTTCAAGTTAGATATTAAAAAAGTGGCATAAGACACCACAGAACTGCAAAGACCCAGCTTCAACCAGAAGTTCATTGTGCAGATGAAAAGAGAAGCAGTGGTGAAGGCTACAGCTAATCTGGGCATGCAGAAAACTTGTGGATGAGATTCCATAAGGAAGCCAAGCTTCATCCCAACTGGAATAAGGAAAAGGGCATGCTATTCCTTCTGTTGCTTAAGCTTCCAATTCTTTGACATAGCCTGATCATCAGTAATGCTAACTGGGTCATGGAGCTTTATGGTTATTCTAGCTACAACAAGCAAACATTGAACATGTAAGCAGTGGTGAGGAGATTCACTGTTAAGCATTACATGTTGTATTTCATGAAATGTTAAATCTGTGAATCATTCAACACAAAGTGTGATGAAAGTTCATTTCTTTGTTTGCTTACTATACTACAGTGTGGGCTGTGACTAGTCAGAATGTTGGTGATTGCCTTTAATGGAGCTCAGAATGACATCCCAGGTGAGCCTCCCTTTCACGAATGCATTTGTTAAATCAAAACATGTTATCCTTGTCTGATCCTGCGGATTTTGTTTCGGCTCTCAAGTGAAAGTGTCAAGTCTAGGTTACATTACAGTTCACAGTTATGGTGATGTGGAGTGAACAGTAGAATGTGTGAATGTTTGTAGGTTTAGAGATTTGAATATGGGTGGTGTGTATTTCTAAAGGTACGTCTTGATGTACGTAGTTTTTAACCCTTTGAGTGTCGTGACCCCTGCTCGCAAACTTGCTCATAGTGTCGAAGAATTTAAAAAAAAATCTTGTGAAATGATAGAGTATCTTTTTCTGAAGGTAATGAAACCAAAGGTTCAAAATTTGATGGAAAACATAGGGAATTACACTTTTGTGAAGTTAGCGCTCTTGGCAATATTTATGCATTGGTGATTTCACCCATTTTGAGCCTTAGTTTGGGCCAGTTCCTTTGCTCCACTTGACCAGACTCATAGCTGTTTCGCTAGAACTCTTTTATTCTATCGACTGAGTACAAGAAACTGCCCATTTACCTATTTCGGCTACACAAAAAAGTGATCAAACATTAGTAATTTGGCCAATTTTGCACAAAATTCAAGAAAGGTCAATTTCAAAATAGGGGCCAGAATAAACAATGCAGACATTCCTGGCACTAAAATAACATTTTCTCCGTTCATTAGTCATGTCTCCAGACCCATCTTATATTACGCTTGCTTTTCATTTTGAATTTTTATTCACACAACAAATAGATGATTTACTGTTATTCAAATTACTGCATAATTTTATTAATTGTATAAATAATATCAGTGCATTTGTGAATGCATATTACACCCACCAGGTGGCATGCATTGAATGCATGATGTGATTTGTTTACTCTTGAACATCATCAAAAATCAAACATTTCTGCTGCTTTGAGCTGAATTTCAAGCTACTTTTAGTTGGTAAACCATTCAAAATTACCTCTATTTCTGTAATATATCTTCCATTCTATCATATAAGACCAAGAGAAAGAGAATACAACCATAAATATTATACGAAAATACACCACAAAGTCGTTGTTTTAAGCCAAAAACATGATCGTTGTTTTTTTTTCTCTCATTATGCACTGCTTGCTGCAGGATTTTTTTGAACTGGAGAGGGAGCATGGACACGGGGGTCATCCCACAGTTACTAAAAACAACAGACACAGCCCCACTCCACAAAGGGGGCAGTAAAGCAACAGCAAAGAACTACAGACCGATAGCACTCACATCCCATATCATAAAAATCTTTGAAAGGGTCCTAAGAAGCAAGATCACCACCCATCTAGAAACCCATCAGTTACACAACCCAGGGCAACATGGGTTTAGAACAGGTCACTCCTGTCTGTCTCAACTATTGGATCACTATGACAAGGTCCTAGATGCACTAGAAGACAAAAAGAATGCAGATGTAATATATACAGACTTTGCAAAAGCCTTCGACAAGTGTGACCATGGCGTAATAGCGCACAAAATGCGTGCTAAAGGAATAACAGGAAAAGTCGGTCGATGGATGTATAATTTCCTCACTAACAGAACACAGAGAGTAGTCGTCAACAGTAAAGTCCGAGGCAGCTACGGTGAAAAGCTCTGTTCCACAAGGCACAGTACTCGCTCCCATCTTGTTCCTCATCCTCATATCCGACATAGACAAGGATTGTCAGCCACAGCACCGTGTCTTCCTTTGCAGATGACACCCGAATCTGCATGACAGTGTCTTCCATTGCAGACACTGCAAGGCTCCAGGTGGACATCAACCAAATCTTTCAGTGGGCTGCAGAAAACAATATGAAGTTCAACGATAAGAAATTTCAATTACTCAGATATGGTAAACACGAGGAAATTAAATCTTCATCAGAGTACAAAACAAATTCTGGCCACAAAATAGAGCGAAACACCAACGTCAAAGACCTGGGAGTGATCATGTCGGAGGATCTCACCTTCAAGGACCATAACATTGTATCAATCGCATCTGCTAGAAAAATGACAGGATGGATAATGAGAACCTTCAAAACTAGGGAGGCCAAGCCCATGATGACACTCTTCAGGTCACTTGTTCTATCTAGGCTGGAATATTGCTGCACACTAACAGCACCTTTCAAGGCAGGTGAAATTGCTGACCTAGAAAATGTACAGAGAACCTTCACGGCGCGCATAACGGAGCTAAAATACCTCAATTACTGGGAGCACTTGAGGTTCCTAAACCTGTATTCCCTGGAACGCAGGCAGGAGAGATACATGATTATATACACCTGGAAAATCCTAGAGGGACTAGTACCGAACTTGCACACGAAAATCACTCACTACGAAAGCAAAAGACTTGGCAGACGATGCAACATCCCCCCAATGAAAAGCAGGGGTGTCACTAGCAAGTTAAGAGACCATACAATAAGTGTCAGGGGTCCAAGACTGTTCAACTGCCTCCCAGCATACATAAGGGGGATTACCAACAGACCCCTGGCAGTCTTCAAGCTGGCACTGGACAAGCACCTAAAGTCGGTTCCTGACCAGCCGGGCTGTGGCTCGTACGTTGGTTTGCGTGCAGCCAGCAGTAACAGCCTGGTTGATCAGGCTCTGATCCACCAGGAGGCCTGGTCACAGACCGGGCCGCGGGGGCGTTGACCCCCGGAACTCTCTCCAGGTAAACTCCAGGTAAACACTGACCATGCAGACCCATTCTCTCATATGTAGGCCTACCAACTTTCTCCCACAAGATTTGAACCCGTTTAGAATTTTGGCGTAGTATTACGGGACTGACACTGGCTTCAAAGCCGTAATATTATGGGACCGACACCAAAGGGGCTAAAGCTGATTTTTGTTGTAGTATCTGCATGCATCTGGCAAGACAGTTATAAGAATGAATGATTGTGAAAGTGTTGTTTTTTTTTGTCACCCTATTTTGGGTGAAAACAATAACTGGGATATGCATACATAAGTGTTTAATATAGGACATTGACAGTATTGTAGAAACATTCATCTTTGTCACCCTTGAGTTTACTTCATTCTTCACTAATAATTCCAGTTTGGTATGTGTCTTAAACACTGTTCTTCACTCATCATTTACCATTTTCTTCCACCTGTATAGACCTTATAAAATATTTTAATAAAATAGTCCAGTAATTTTTATTCATGAGTCATTTGTTTGATATAACAGATATTTTATTTATTCATTTATGATTCATGAGTATGTAACATTATTCATTTGAATCTTGTACTTCCTTCAGAGAAGAGGATGAGCAGTCGATCATACCACGATTTGGTGTCCAGTTCATCTGATGAAGAGGAGTTCTTTATCAAGGATTCAGTCCCCCCAAAGAAGACTCAACGGTGATTTCCACGGTATTCCTATCATTCTAATGAGAATTATCTGAAGATGTGTAAATAATATAACATTAATTTTTTAAATATATATAGTATATAACTTTCCAGAGGAAGAGTTTGGTGAATTTTTTTATCTGGTACATAAAATATTCTTATGAAGACAGTACGTATTTTAGAACATTTTGGAAATTGATAGTATAGGTTGTGTAGTGTGTGTTAGTTACTAGTTGTCAAAGGCACTTGTCAATAGACACTTGCCCTGCCGTGCACGTGTGTGCATATGTTGTATAATACAAATGTTTTCAATTTTTTTTTTAATTACTGCGTATTTGACCTATTTGTGTATACTTACATGTACACCTAATGTATATTGTGGCCTCTAATTCTAAGCAAGATGGTTTATTTTCAGTAGCCTAGAATAGCTTATTGATGTTGTTTTGAATTTCTTGTGTATTTAAAATATTCTGCAATATTGGGAAACAAATGATAAAATGTTTGGTCAGGAAGTACATGTGCCTTACTTTGTATTAAAATTTGAAATGGCAAGGAAGAAAACACTCATTTTTTTAAGTGCAGTAGGTTACTACAATGATAGAACGGTTGGGACCAGGAGCTGTCTTTTATTAACATAAACCTATTGCTAATATTATCTCCTCTCTTTCTCACTTCCTCTTTAATGTTCTCAGAAATATGTGCATCTGTACAAAATACCACTGTGAAATAATAATGAATTTCCAAGTGCTTTCATGATTTCTCACATTATCAAGGAACTGCAAAAATAATAGGACAGCAGAAGGTTTATTGTGATTTTATTATGATTGTGTTTATTGTGATTTTAATGCATGTTCATTTGTGTATATAATAATGTAGATGTGAATTTGGGATTAAAATTTGTATTTGGTATATATATTTTGAAAAGACCTTTCTAATGCACAGCATTTTGGGCAGAACTCAAATAGAGCAAGACCTAATTATATTAATATTGCAACACTTAAATATCTATTAGGAAGCTGTATTTATACATTAGGGGTATTAAAGAATTACAAATGAGATTTACAGTAGACAGCCATAAGTCATTCGATTATAATGTGTTATTCAGTATTTTTTTCATTTCTAATAAAAGTGCACCATATACATAAACCCTTTCAGGGTTTCGGCCGTACTAGTACGGCTTACGCACCAGGGTTTTTGACGTAGTACTAGTACGCCTAAATTCTAGCGCCCTCAAATCTAGTGAGAGAAAGCTGGTAGGCATACATATGAAAGAATGGGTCTATGTGGTCAGTGTGCACAGTATAAAAAAAATCCTGCAGCACACAGTACATAATGAGAAAAAGAGAAACTTGGACCGTATTTTTGGATTAAAACAGCGACTTTGCACTGTATTTTCGTATGGTATTTATTGTTGTATTCTAGTTTTCCTGGTCTCATTCTATAGAATGGAAGACATATTACAGAAATTGAGAAGATTTTGACTGATTTTACATTGAAAAGTACCTTGAAATTGAGCTCGAAGTAGCAGAAATGTTCGATTTTTACCGAAGTTCAAAAGTAAACAAATCATGCTAAGCGTCCAACACACATCAACTGGTGAGTCTAATATTCTTTCACAAGTGCGCCGATATTATTTATACCATTTTTTACACTAATGAAGTACGTAGTCTGCTTAACAATAAATCTTCTATTTTTTGTGAGAATAAAAATTCAAAGTGGAAAGCAAAAGAATGTAAGAGGGGCCTTGGGACATGACTGATGAACAGAGGAAATGTCATTTTAGTGCCAGGAATGTCTTTCTTGTTTATTCTGGACCCTATTTGGAAATTGGCATCTTTTGAAATTTGTGTGAAATTGGCAAAATTGGTAAATTCTGACCACTGTATTGGATAGTTGAAATCGGTAAATGGGTGGTTTCTTGCACTCATTCGATAGAAAAAATGGAGTTCTAGCGAAATATTCATGATTTTTGTCGACTAGTGCAGTGGAATTGGCTGAAAATAGGGCTCAAAGTGGGCAAAATCGCTGATGCGTGAACATCGTCGAGACCGCTAACTTCGCGAGAGCATAATTCCATAAGTTTTCCGTCAAATTTCATACTTTTGGTGTCATTATGATCGGGAAAAGTTTCTCTATCTTTTCATAAGAAAAAATAATTTTTTTTTTTTTTTTTTGAAATTTGGGAGACCCTGAGAACAAGTTTCTGAGAGGGCCTGTTGACCCTGAAAGGGTTAAGGAATGCAGGAGCAGAATTTATTTCTGTTGGTGGCATGCATTTCTATTAAGGAGTGCCTTGACCCCAGGTAGGAGGTCCCATCCTTTCCCATACTACACATTGGACAACTCTATTGTTTTGGCGGTGTGGGGGAGGGTGTGACAGAAGGTGAGGGTGGTGTAAATGCACAGCCTCTCATGCAAGTCTATATATCTTAACACATACCATACAATTTTTCCTGAATGCACATTGCTTGGTTTCTCCTTTTCTTCAGCCCTTCATGTATATGGATATTTATCATTGGATCCAAATGTAGTGCAAGTGACGCTGATGAAACAAGATTGAAAATTAAGCATGAAACTATACCGGTTTTGAAAAAACTGGAGGTAATTGAGATGCTGAAAAGTGGTACACATGTCATGGAGAAGGCACAAGTGTTTGGTGCTAGAGAATCAATGATTTGTTCAATTTGAGCCAGTGAGGCAAAGACAAAGGCTTGTGCAATGAGCAGTCCTCAATGTGACACACTGAAAAGTATGAAGAATAGGTCATTACAGTTTATTAAAACAAAGTTTACTAAATTTATGGATTGAAAAACAAAGAAAGAAAAGTTTCACTTGATGCCCATATCAGGAAAAAATCCTTATCATACTAGATAAGAGCGTGTGAGAAGTAAGGACAGCTAGAAAAGGAATGCATATTTAGTTCTGGATGGTAGAATGCACTGTGGGTTGCATAATATAAAGTTCAGTGACAAGAGTGTCTGCTGACCATACTACTGCAGAAAAGTTTCCAACTGAGCTAGCTAGCATTATCTCTGAGGGTGTCTACAAACCTGAGGTGTTTAATGCTGGTGAGATAGGTTTATTTTGGAAGACGATGCCTTCTAGAACATCAGCAAACAAGAGATAACTCCTGGATTAAACCATATCAACTTATTTCTTTGCAGTAATGTACCTAGAAATGTAAGGCCTTCCCTGGGAAGTTTGAATAGCTCATGTTTACTTTTCCCTCCATGTCCACTTCAACCTTGCACTCATTCTTTCTTTAACACGTAGAATCTTATTTTCGTATTGCATTATATACTGCTATTTCTAAATAATCTGATGGTGTCAGATATGCAGCTGCTTTTCTTTAAATAATAATCCAAGATTATTTACTAGAATTGGTCAGTATCTTCACTGCAGAGTTATATGCCATTCTCACTGCTATAATACACATTATGACCTTGTCTGCCTCATCATCTAAATTTCTGGATAACATTGCAAGCTATTTAGAAATTTGAATCCCTCATCCCATCATCCTTTGTATACATCATTGGGTAGGTCACATTTCCAGTAAATACAAAGAAGTTTTTTGCTTGGTCTGTGGACATGCCAGTGTTCAGAGTAATGAACAAGCAGACTCAGCTGCTCAGTCAGCTATTAGTGATCTCCCGCTTTCCTGCATGGCTGTGCCTTTCTCGAACTATTTTTTGATGCTCTCTCAACTCGTCAACTGCTGGCACTGACATTGGTTCAAGTTGGACCACAACAAATTATTCTGTATTAAGCCATGTTTAAGGTTCTGGCCCTTTTCTTCCCACTGTTGTCAGGTTTGAAAGACTGTGCTCTCATGTTTACTTCTTGGACACGCGCAACTCGCTGAAGGATGACACATGGAGAAACATCCAGAACTGCTCTGCAAGGACTGTCAGGTTTACTTTCAGTCCAACATATCTTAATTGATTGTTCTGTTTATCAGCAGGCACACAGGATTCATTTCCAATCTCCACACTGCCCCAGAATGCTGGAACTGACCTTGCTGAAAGCTCTGCCCTTCATGCAGATTCACTAAAATACCGTACTAATTTCAATTAAATTTTACACTTGCCCTAACCCCCCACCTCCACTAACTCCTACCGCAGCACATCCCTACCCTCACTCCTAACCTTTGCACCTTCCTACTTTTGCCCATTCCCCCCTGCAGCACTTTGTGACCCTTGCAGGTTTAGCATTTATATTGATTATATTATTCTTATTATCATTATCACTGTGTGAAATGAAGGTGCTTGAAACAAAGCAAGAAAGACAGGGTTGCATGGACTGCATCTTCAGGGATAGACAGAAATCATTTGATACATTTCCACACCAGAGATTAGTCCAGAAATTTGAGAAACAGACAGGGTTAAAAGGCAGTGTACTCCAGTGGGTCAAGGGGCACTTGAATGCCAGAAGGCAGATAACAACAGTAAATGATGAGACAGAATAGGAGAAAGTAATGAGTGGGGTTCTGCAAGGATTAGTATTAGAACTGCTGCTGTTTCTAATATACATAAGCATCCACAAGAGGGAAGTGAATCTTGTGTCACTATGTACTTAGGATGTAAAATTAATGAGAAGAATATGAACAGGAGAGAACATTGATAAACTCTAAGAGACACCTCAGCAGACTGGAGATATGGTCAAACAAGTAGAGAGAGGAGCTACAAATATAAGATAGCAAAAAAGACCTGAAGGTAAATATAACACCAAGCATATTGCCAGCATAACACATCTCATAATGTCGGTGGCATATACATTATTAGCAAACCTCAGAACAGCATTCAGGAACTTGAACAGAGAATCCTTTAGAACATAATATACAATATAAGGTAAGGAAATCATGAGTATGTGTTCCCAGCATGGAGCCTACACCTTGTTAAGAATGTGCAGAAGCTTGAAAAAGTCAGAGGTTTGCAACCACTCTGGTACCAGAATCAAGAGCAATGCACTATGAGGAGAGGTTGACCGAAGCAAACCAGATGACTTTAGTGGAGAGAAAGGTGAGACATGAGAGGAAACCAGTAGAAGCTAAAGGCACAGATGAGTCATAGGGATGTAAGGGACTATTTCTTTAGTCTTAGGGTAATTGAACTGTGGAATAACTTGGATAAGGAAGTAGTGGAAGCAGACAGGGCACACAGCTTCAAAAATAGATAAGATAAAGGCTAAAAGACAAGAAATCAGCAGTTGCAGTTGAAGTAGTCTAGATGGCAGGGTAAACACAATGAGTACTACTCTTATGAAGAGTGCTTTTCTCTCACACTTGAAGGTGTTGTATACTTTATAATTTATATCTAAACTTTCTTCTTTCAACAAACCAGCCGCATCCCACCGAGGCAGGGTGGCCCAAAATGATAAACGAAAGTTTCTCCTCTTACATTTAGTAATATATACAGGAGAAGGGGTTACTAGCCCCTTGCTCCCAGCATTTTAGTCGCCTCTTACAACACGCATGGCTTAGGGAGGAAGAATTCTGTTCCACTTCCCCATGGAGATAAGAGGAAATAAACAAGAAGAAGAAAGAAAATAGAAGAATACCCAGAGGGGTGTGTGTATATATATGCTTGTACATGTATGTGTAGTGTGACCTAAGTGTAAGTAGAAGTAGCAAGACGTACCTGAAATCTTGCATGTTTATGAGACAGAAAAAAGACACAGCAATCCTACCATCATGTACAACAATTACAGGTTTCTGTTTTACACTCACTTGGCAGGACAGTAGTACCTCCCTGGGCGGTTGCTGTCTACCAACCTACTACCTAGGTCCCAAATTTTGTAATACTGTGCACACCAAGTGTTAAGACCCATTCTATACCGACCAGGCATCTCAGGCCAATCATGCCAAATTTGGAGACAGGAAAAATAAAACGTTGATCTACGTTTGGAGCACTAGCAGTAAGAACATAGATCTACGTTTGGAAAGTTAATGGGTTTAAGCTGCATTTTATACCCTCCAGAACCTGACCCTGGGGGAGCTGATGCACTCATCTTCACCTTCATTCTACCCTCGTTTTATCTAAACTAGGCTGTGGTGACTACCAATGTTCTTAAGCTTCCCACATTACTCTTTCTGAACTTGATTCTATTCGTCATCACAGGTTACATTTGTGTCACGGGGCTTTCCAGTCTTCCCCAGTTGAGAGCCTCTGTGCAGAAGCAAACATCCCTTCTTTGCAAGATTAGTGCAATGCCCAGTGTCTCCTTAATTTGTTCTCATAACCTTCACTATTCTTCCGCATATAGGACGGTAACAGATGTTATTAAGGCTTCTTTGTTTAATTGTTCACTCTCATTTATTACACCCTTCTGTATTTGCTCTCTTTTGGCTTCCCTTAACCCATAAACGGTCCAAACGTATATATACGTTTTTTCAACTTTTGATAGTATGTAAAAAAAAGTAGATCTTTTTTTTAGATCTGCTTGGACCATTTACGGGTTAATTTACCTCCCCTTTTCATTTACCCTGCATCTTACTTTTTTCTTCCTTCTTGGGAAGTCCTGAAGATTCATGTTTGCTCTTCCCTGCTTCCAAGTTCAAAAGCTCACTTGTCTGCTATAACTTAACTGTCACTTAACTCTATAAATTAACTCTCACTTCCATTGTCATGCTGTTGCTGAGTACACTAATGGCTCTTAGTCCCTTGATGGTGTTGGATATGTAGTAGTTTTTCCTGACAAATTCATCAAAGGTGATGTATTAGGCTTGGCCAGTGTTTTCTCAGCAGTGTTATATGCACATTGCATCAATGTTTACCTTATAATTCATAATTGTCAGACTCTTGCAGTGCATTATAGGCTAACCAGAAATTAGACTTCCCACATCCTATTGACCTTTGTATGTATTCAGCTTTGGTCATGCCACATTTCTAGCAGATGCAGAGATGTCAGTTTTTTCTTGGTCTCAGGACACATCATTGCCCAGGGTAACAAACAAGCAGACTCGGCTCCTCAGTCTGCTGTTCAAGACCTCCCAGTTTCCTGCAGAGGTATTCCTTACTCAGACTATTTTTCAGTTAAGTTAGGTAAGGTTTGTCAGGAAACAGAACAAGTATTTCCTGACTCGTGTTTTAGTCATATGATGACCCGCCGTTGGAGCTTTTGGTCATTTAACCAAGGCCTTACATTGGCTTACCAGTCCACCCCTTTAAAAATTGTGGTCATAGTTATAACCATTCAATATTTTTCACTGATCTCTCAAACTCTGTAACCAATGGCAACAACATCGGTCAGAAGTGGTCCTCAACAAATGCTTTCTGTCCAATCATGTTTAGGTTTCTGGTCATCTTTAAACCAATTTCATATTTAAGAGAAATCACTCTCCTGTCTATGTATCGACCACACGAGCCTCACTCACTGATATCTCTTGGGAAAAACGATTAACACCACTGTGTGAAGACTGTTGAGTTGCAGTGTCAGTTCAACATGTCTTATTAGATTGTCCTGCCTATAAACACACATGCAGAATTCACTCCTTTCATCTCCACTTCCCCAACACATGAACTTTTACTGACCTCCTTGCTGAAAGTTCTACCTATGATGCAGACCTTTGACTTTTTATCAGAAACTTCATATACTTTTCCTCTTGCACTCTTCCCTAAACCCACTAGCCCCTGCCCTTGCACACTCCTACCATTCACTCTTTCATCATTTTTGCCCATTCCTCCTTTCCTTCATTCCTCCCTGCAGTGCTGTATGACCCTTTCATGATTAGCACATAATTTGATTATATTATTGTTGTTTAAGTGGGGTTAGTTTTTTTTAGCTTTTATTTATGTTGTGCAAAGATTGACAATAGTGAGGAGTGGAAATATAAACATAACCCCTGCTCAGTTTTTCTTAATAAATATTCCAAAATGCGTATTATTCAACATAAATTGTGTGTAAAGGTGTTTGAATTGTAGAAAATTTAGAATACAGCCTCTCCTCACTTAGTGACATACTTGTTTACCGATGATTCGGACTTACGACGGGCTCTCTGACCAGTATGCATACCTAAATAATGTATGTTAGAGCTGATTTTCTCTATTCTGTTTATTACAATATACAGTATACTACTGTATAAACATTTAAAAATATACTAAACTTGTTATATATGGTGCAAGGGTGACATTAAAGCAACCCACTACCATTATAGTATGCTCCTCAATTAGCAACGAATTCGTCTCCCGACGCAGTATTAGAAACAGAACTCCGTCGTTAAATGACGAAAGGCTGTACTGTAAAAAGCACTCACACACTCCTCTTTTATTTGGATAAAAATATAAATTTCAGATACATTTCTAAATTTATTATACATACTGTAATTCTTACTCACACACAAAAAAAGTATTAAATTAATAGATCATTCTGATTTAAAAAAAAAAATCTGAAATAGAGCTTTCCATTTGGAAATTAACACACACTCTTCAGAAAATTCAGAATTTTGGATAAAATTTCAAATTCATATTGTTTTATTTTTTAATTTTGGGTAATTTTTTACTAATAAAGATTCAGGGAGTTAAAAGTACATAGCTTCGTATTGCATTCTGATAACCATTTACCTTATCTAACCAAAAAATATATAAATTTAAATAAAACAAAGACTCACAGTGTAAATTTTACATAATATGTATTTTATCAAATGCTTCCTTATAAATGAATTGCTGGCAGATAGTGTCACACACATCATGGACTTAGCAAAAATAAGTAAACTTGGGTACTGTAATTATTTGAATTAAAAATAATTTGTTTGATTTTGAATGTAATAATAAACATAGGTTATTGTTCTGTCATATTTGATGAAAACATTTACTCCTTTCAGCAGCTACACGCAGTGCCTTATATAAATTAACACCAGAGAAACTTTAGTATTGTATGTATACAATACTGTACAGTGGAACCTCGGTATACGACCAGCTCAGTACTTGAACAAAGCTCAGCACTCGACCTGCCAGAACCTCACTGTAAACTAATTTGTGTTTCTTCGCTTTTTTTTTTTTTTTTTGTATAAATAAGTCACCATGGGGGCCTACGACAATTAGTGATAACAGCCAACCAAACAGAAAATTGGTTGGGAAGAAATTGTTCAATGCTCAAATGGAGCGGCACTTGAACAGCCTTCTGGAATGAATGAAGGTCGTATACTGAGGTTCCATTGTATATGCAATATACATGTATATTTTTTGTATATTTTAAAATTTGCAATTTGAGAGTATGGAAAGGAACCTCATGATTAATGAATTTTTAATGATTCAACATTCTCAGCAACACTTGCATTTTCAATATGTGCAAGGGCAATATTTTTCTGTGATAAGACATGATAATTATTTGTATAGATTTAAAAATTATGAAGTTGTCACTGGTATAAAATACCCTATCTCAGTCACAGATCTAAGGATTATATGATTGTTATACTCATATGTCTCATTTATATGTATACCTAGATAAGATATGTAAATCCAGATATTTTGATTAATTATATTCAACTTGTGAATCTTTGTAATTTAGAAATCTATCATGTATTGAAACTAATTAATGCTTAAATAGAAATAAAATGACATTCTTTCATCAGGGTATTATAATTCTTCTTATATAAACAAAGTACTGTAAATATTAGATGTGTTTCAGTCACTGAGAGATCTGAGAAAGGTATTTCCCAAATCCCAGAATCCTTGCTCTCTCAACCTTGACCTCAGTGCCTCACTTTGGGATGATAGAAATATCTTCAAAAATTCTAATTTTCTTGTGTATGGGATAGGCTATCCTGAGAGATGGCAGTTCTCAAGCAATACTAACTCCAGCGATGCTGGAATGAAACCTCTGAAGATAACTCTAGCTGATGGAACCTTGCTGGAATACTTGACGGTGTCCTCATGTCCCTACTGAAGTCTCCCGTGTCTGGCTAACACATTTCAACACCTTGTATGAGCCCCTTCCTGCATGATCAAATATGACAAGGGAAACAGCTTTGTTCCCATTGTGTAACTATCGTGTAGAATAGGATAGCAGCACAATGCTGGTGTATCCAGTTTTGTTTAATAATAAAAAAAATGCAAAAGATGACACAAAGTAGCATAAATTTCTAATGCAGTTAAATTTTTTTTAACACATTGGTCGTCCCCTGCCTTGGTAGTACACCTAGTGTGATTTTAATGAATTTTGAAAATCTGGCCAAAAATCAGGGAAGAGAAGAAAGAGAAAGGGAAAAGGAAAGAGAAGAAGAAAAACTTTATAAAACTGGGTTGCTTAAATGTGCGTGGATGTAGTGCGGATGACAAGAAACAGATGATTGCTGATGTTATGAATGAAAAGAAGTTGGATGTCCTGGCCCTAAGCGAAACAAAGCTGAAGGGGGTAGGAGAGTTTCAGTGGGGGGAAATAAATGGGATTAAATCTGGAGTATCTGAGAGAGTTAGAGCAAAGGAAGGGGTAGCAGTAATGTTAAATGATCAGTTATGGAAGGAGAAAAGAGAATATGAATGTGTAAATTCAAGAATTATGTGGATTAAAGTAAAGGTTGGATGCGAGAAGTGGGTCATAATAAGCGTGTATGCACCTGGAGAAGAGAGGAATGCAGAGGAGAGAGAGAGATTTTGGGAGATGTTAAGTGAATGTATAGGAGCCTTTGAACAAGTGAGAGAGTAATTGTGGTAGGGGACTTGAATGCTAAAGTAGGAGAAACTTTTAGAGAGGGTGTGGTAGGTAAGTTTGGGGTGCCAGGTGTAAATGATAATGGGAGCCCTTTGATTGAACTTTGTATAGAAAGGGGTTTAGTTTAGGTAATACATATTTTAAGAAAAAGAGGATAAATAAGTATACACGATATGATGTAGGGCGAAATGACAGTAGTTTGTTGGATTATGTATTGGTAGATAAAAGACTGTTGAGTAGACTTCAGGATGTACATGTTTATAGAGGGGCCACAGATATATCAGATCACTTTCTAGTTGTAGCTATACTGAGAGTAAAAGGTAGATGGGATACAAGGAGAATAGAAGCATCAGGGAAGAGAGAGGTGAAGGTTTTAAACTAAAAGAGGAGGCAGTTAGGGTAAGATATAAACAGCTATTGGAGGATAGATGGGCTAATGAGAGCATAGCAATGGGGTCGAATGAGGTATGGGGTAGGTTTAAAAATGTAGTGTTAGAGTGTTCAGCAGAAGTTTGTGGTTACAGGAAAGTGGGTGCAGGAGGGAAGAGGAGCGATTGGTGGAATGATGATGTAAAGAGAGTAGTAAGGGAGAAAAAGTTAGCATATGAGAAGTTTTTACAAAGTAGAAGTGATGCAAGGAGGGAAGAGTATATGGAGAAAAAGAGAGAAGTTAAGAGAGTGGTGAAGCAATGTAAAAAGAGAGCAAATGAGAGAGTGGGTGAGATGTTATCAACAAATTTTGTTGAAAATAAGAAAAAGTTTTGGAGTGAGATTAACAAGTTAAGAAAGCCTAGAGAACAAATGGATTTGTCAGTTAAAAATAGGAGAGGAGAGTTATTAAATGGAGAGTTAGAGGTATTGGGGAAGATGGAAGGAATATTTTGAGGAATTGTTAAATGTTGATGAAGATAGGGAAGCTGTGATTTCGTGTATAGGGCAAGGAGGAATAACATCTTGTAGGAGTGAGGAAGAGCCAGTTGTGAGTGTGGGGGAAGTTCGTGAGGCAGTAGGTAAAAATGAAAGGGGGTAAGGCAGCCGGGATTGATGGGATAAAGATAGAAATGTTAAAAGCAGGTGGGGATATAGTTTTGGAGTGGTTGGGGGCAATTATTTAATAAATGTATGGAAGAGGGTAAGGTACCTAGGGATTGGCAGAGAGCATGCATAGTTCCTTTGTATAAAGGCAAAGGGGATAAAAGAGAGTGCAAAAATTATAGGGGGATAAGTCTGTTGAGTGTACCTGGTAAAGTGTATGGTAGAGTTATAATTGAAAGAATTAAGAGTAAGACGGAGAATAGGATAGCAGATGAACAAGGAGGCTTTAGGAAAGGTAGGGGGTGTGTGGACCAGGTGTTTACAGTGAAACATATAAGTGAACAGTATTTAGATAAGGCTAAAGAGGTCTTTGTGGCATTTATGGATTTGGAAAAGGCGTTATGACAGGGTGGATAGGGGGGCAATGTGGCAGATGTTGCAAGTGTATGGTGTAGGAGGTAGGTTACTGAAAGCAGTGAAGAGTTTTTACGAGGATAGTGAGGCTCAAGTTAGAGTATGTAGGAAAGAGGGAAATTTTTTCCCAGTAAAAGTAGGCCTTAGACAAGGATGTGTGATGTCACCGTGGTTGTTTAATATATTTATAGACGGGGTTGTAAGAGAAGTAAATGCGAGGGTTTTGGCAAGAGGCGTGGAGTTAAAAGATAAAGAATCACACACAAAGTGGGAGTTGTCACAGCTGCTCTTTGCTGATGACACTGTGCTCTTGGGAGATTCTGAAGAGAAGTTGCAGAGATTGGTGGATGAATTTGGTAGGGTGTGCAAAAGAAGAAAATTAAAGGTGAATACAGGAAAGAGTAAGGTTATGAGGATAACAAAAAGATTAGGTGATGAAAGATTGAATATCAGATTGGAGGGAGAGAGTATGGAGGAGGTGAACGTATTCAGATATTTGGGAGTGGACGTGTCGGCGGATGGGTCTATGAAAGATGAGGTGAATCATAGAATTGATGAGGAAAAAAGAGTGAGTGGTGCACTTAGGAGTCTGTGGAAACAAAGAACTTTGTCCTTGGAGGCAAAGAGGGGAATGTATGAGAGTATAGTTTTACCAACGCTCTTATATGGGTGTGAAGCGTGGGTGATGAATGTTGCAGCGAGGAGAAGGCTGGAGGCAGTGGAGATGTCATGTCTGAGGGCAATGTGTGGTGTGAATATAATGCAGAGAATTCGTAGTTTGGAAGTTAGGAGGAGGTGCGGGATTACCAAAACTGTTGTCCAGAGGGCTGAGGAAGGGTTGTTGAGGTGGTTCGGACATGTAGAGAGAATGGAGCGAAACAGAATGACTTCAAGAGTGTATCAGTCTGTAGTGGAAGGAAGGCGGGGTAGGGGTCGGCCTAGGAAGGGTTGGAGGGAGGGGGTAAAGGAGGTTTTGTGTGCGAGGGGCTTGGACTTCCAGCAGGCATGCGTGAGCGTGTTTGATAGGAGTGAATGGAGACAAATGGTTTTTAATACTTGACGTGCTGTTGGAGTGTGAGCAAAGTAACATTTATGAAGGGATTCAGGGAAACCGGCAGGCCGGACTTGAGTCCTGGAGATGGGAAGTACAGTGCCTGCACTCTGAAGGAGGGTTGTTAATGTTGCAGTTTAAAAACTGTAGTGTAAAGCACCCTTCTGGCAAGACAGTGATGGAGTGAATGATGGTGAAAGTTTTTCTTTTTCGGGCCACCCTGCCTTGGTGGGAATCGGCCGGTGTGATAATAAAAATGATAATATTGATTTATGTGCGAGGAATGAAAGGTACTTCTGTGCATGATGCCTTGTTTCAAGGACTACCACAGACTGCAGCAGTTCTAGAAACATGTCTAGTGGTTGTACATATGTAAATATATAATAGAACATTAATAATATACAACATTTGTGCATGTTTATTGTTGTAAACAATACTGGTAAACAATGTTATAATAACTTTAGTGCAGTTATTGTGTTCAGTACATTGAGTGTATATATATACATTGTTGGTCTCACAGGCCACAAATGTTACTAGAAAAAGAAAAAAATTTGATAAAAGAAAAAAAGTATAAAAAACGTAAAATAAAGAAATGCGATTTTGCGGAAGCTAATGTTGCCGCCACCCGGTCATTTTGGGTCAACTTTCCACCTCTATATCTCGGTAAGTACTGGTCAGAATTTTTTTTTTTGTTTTATTACCTTCACAAAATTATTATCTTTATACATTAGGTTAGGTCATAGGTTCGGGTAGGTTAGGTTACATTACATTACATTAGGGTAGGGTAGGTGAGGTTAGGTTAGGTCTGGCTGGGTTAGGATAGGTTAGGTTAAGGTAGTTTAGGTTAGGTAAGGTTGGGTTTGGTTAGGTTAGGTTAGGTGAAGTTAGGTTAGGTCAGGTCAGGTTATGGTTAGGTTAAGTTAGGTTTGGTTGGGTTAGGGTAGGTTAGGTTTGGCTAAGTTAGGTTAGGCTTAGGTTTGGTTAGGTTAGGCTTAGGTTAGGTTAAGTTTGGTTAGGTTAGGTTATGTAAAGTTAGGTTTGGTTAGGTTAGGTTTGGTTAAGTTATGTTAGGTTTAGTTGGTTTGGTTGGGTTATGTTACAGTTAGGGAAGGTCAAATCAGGTAAGGTTAGGTTATTTTAGGTCAGGTCAGGTTAGCTTAGCTTAGGTTAGTTTTGGTTTGGTTAGGTTAGGTTACCAGTGTTGAAAAGTCTGAAGGCGATCAACAGAGACTTTTCCAAGTTATTGCACAGAAACCAAAATTAGGAAGGGCTCTATGAAACAGAAGGAAGGCCACCTTCCTCTCCCAGTAGTTCCATAAACCTTCTCCCTGACCACATTTCAGCGACTGCAGAAATAAATCAGAAGCCGATCAGAAGAGGCATTCTTGATTTATAGACGATAATTTTTTAGGAAGACGAGTAAAGGAATTCTATCAACCACTTTAAGGTAGCTCTTCATGGATACCTAATAAGTCAACAATTTCAGTCAAATATCATACAAGGTGAGGGTAGCAGGTTAGGTTAGGTAAGGTTAGTCAGGAAACAGGACAAGTGTTTTCTGACGCAGGTCAGCAGGGAAAGCGAAAGCACTTTAGCTATGACGATATGCTGAAAATGGTATAAAATACCGGCGAGTTGAAGATTACGATATGTGTGCAACAGTGAAAGGCCAAAACTATGTATTTACAGTGCTCCTGATATTGATTCCTTTATTCATATATCTAACAGAAACACATCGTGTACAATGCACTCACTGTAGTAGAGGATAGTTTATGCAAAGTAGAGGATTTCAACGACATCTTTTTCTTTTATTCACATTGATGTGCTTGTGTGTGATGGTGATGAGTGTTGACCACCATCTCCACTAGTAGCACCACCGCTGCCACACCCACACCCACACACAGCACCATGAACACTCCCTGCAACACACAGTGTCTTGGATCACTGCTCTACAATGCAAAACCAACTCTGAGTTGATAATCCTTCATGTAAATAAGTGGAGTTCGGTTATGTGAATGTTTAGCAGGAAGGTAAGTAGGTCTGATCATGTGGTCCCTGAGCCACATAGAAAAGATTGAAACTATGATAAGACATTAAGGGATCTCATGATGTTATTGTTAACTTAAAATATATTTAATGACAGTATATTTAATTTTACACAGTGGGCCGATGAGCGAATGAAAGGTCTCCGTTAAATGACTTAACTCTACTGAGTGAATCATCACATGACTAGTACTCATGTCATGAGAATCGTGTCACTCTCGTGACGAACAAACACAGAGTGAGGGACTCGGCAGCGAACCTGAAGGTGCTCTAGGGTAATAGCTTGGACTCTTTCTGCAGGAGCTGCAGTGTCAGGGTAGAGGTGAAGGTGGGTGGGTGTTGGGCCTCGCTTCTCCTGTAGCACCTCCCGGAAGAATCTCTCTACCAGTCCTCCCTCACGCAGCCGCAGGATAACCTGTAATCACAGAGCTAGAATATAAGAATGGAGGAACACCGCAGCAAGCCTACTTGCCCATACCAGGCACGTCTTTATAAAAAACACCCATTCCCACCCACGTATTTGTCCAACCTTTTCCCAAAGCTGCCCAAGAATTTCCTTCAGTGCCTGAGGTGCTAATCAGCCCCCCAACCCTTTTCACTCATATTTACATTATCTCTTTTTTAAGCTACCCAACTACCTTAACACTTCTCAAGTATCTGCAGGCACTAAGCGTCATATATTTTATAATATATCATGGAAGTGGCTGTTGTCTACTGAACCTTATCCTCAACGTTGGTTTTAGTCGACTTGCTAATCCTGTTCACTAGTCATAACTAGTAATTGAATCTCTTTTCTACCTGAGTAAGACATGTGCAACAGACACTTATGCAACATATGGGAATCTTTATTAAAGAAACGTTTTGCCACACAGTGGCTTCACTACTGCATCTTCTACCTCTGTATTTAACTGAAGAAACCTTTTGTGTGCGAAACATTTCAACAATATGAATACCGAACTGTTGCACATGTGATAAATGGTTTTGAAAACCGACAAGTTGAAGATTGAGACACTTATGCAGCATATGGAATCTTTATTGAAGAAACGTTTTGCCACACAGTGACTTCATCAATCCAATACAAAGCAGAAAGGTGTTAGGAGAGGAGGAGTTTGAGGTAATCAGTCCCTCAGCCTGGAATCGATGTGTTCAGTCCATCACTCTTGTAGAAAGTACAGCATATAGACGGAGAAGTGGCTCACCTGACAACAGTATACTGTAGTCAGGCGAGTCGAAGCAGGAGGCAGGATCACAGTGTAACCATCAATTAGTGTAACTCCTCCTCTCCTTACATCTTTCTACTTTGTATTGGATTGATGAAGTCACTGTTTCTTCAATAAAGATTCCCATATGGCATAAGTGTCTCAATTTTCAACTTGTCGGTTTTCAAAACCATTTATCACATGTGCAACAGTTCGATATTCATATTGTTGAAATGTTTCGCACACAAAAGGCTTCTTCAGTCAAATACAGAGGTAGAAGATGCAGTAGTGAAATAAAAATGATCGTTCAAGACCATGAAGCTGCACTCTTCTCCAGGGCGAGGGACTGACCACCTCAAATACTTTTTCTGCAAGGTTGATGCACTGATTACATTATATTTATTTCACTATTACACCTATTAACTCTGTCTGTATTTGACTGAAGAAGCCTTCCATTTGCGAAACGTTTCATCAGTAAAGATACCCAACTGTTGTACATGTGTCTTACTCTTCAAGAGACCTGGTCAATAAATGAGACACATGCCCAACACTTAGATATCTTTATTCTGGTAACATTTCCAGAATAAAGATTCCCAAATGTTGCACAAGTGTCTCATCGATTTGTCGGTTTTGTGAACCATTTATTCACACAAAAGACCTGGTCAACGGAGGGCTTGAGCGGGGAGTTTCTCTTGAGCATAATGCCGACACCGAAGGGATTGATGCACTCTTCCAACATGAGCCTGACAGAAGGCTGACCCACACTGTTGGTGAGGTAGGTTTTCTTCAGGTACTCGAGGTGCTGCAGGTTCTCCAGTAGGACACCTTTCCTCGACAGTACCTCCCTGCATCCAAATATTATCTCTTCAGTCGCATTTACCACACTGTATGCGTAGATATGATTGTAAAACTAACATCGCTGCCAAACACACTCGCTCACTCTAACTGGCCTTCTCGCTGAAAGTCCCCACCTTTGATGCAGAATCTTTCTTGGACATTTGTTTTTAACTCAGCAAATTGTTTTACACCTACTGTAAATTAAATTTTACCCTTGCACTGATTGTTCCTTCATTAAACCCTACCTCTGTACATTTCTACCCACTTACACTCCAACCCTTGTACACCCCTACCCTTGTACACCCCTACCCTTGTACACCCCTACCCTTGTACACCCCTACCCTTGTATACTCCTACCCTTGTATACTCCTACCCTTGTATACTCCTACCCTTGTACACCCCTACCCTTGTACACCCCTACCCTTGTACACCCCTACCCTTGTACACCCCTACCCTTGTACACCCCTACCCTTGTACACCCCTACCCTTGTACACCCCTACCCTTGTACACCCCTACCCTTGTATACTCCTACCCTTGTACACCCCTACCCTTGTACACCCCTACCCTTGTACACCCCTACCCTTGTACACCCCTACCCTTGTACACCCCTACCCTTGTATACTCCTACCCTTGTACACCCCTACCCTTGTACACCCCTACCCTTGTACACCCCTACCCTTGTACACCCCTACCCTTGTACACCCCTACCCTTGTATACTCCTACCCTTGTATACTCCTACCGATGTATACTCCTACCCTAGCAGAATATTTGATTACATTATTTTTATTACTATTATTATTATTATTATTGTTATTAGCATTATTCTAATATGAATATTTTGCATAATATGTAGCCTAGCCACAGTGAATGACATATACTAAGTGATTTCGTTATCTCTCAGTTACATTATCAAGGAGGAGTAAAGACAAATAATGATATTTTCTTTACTGTTTCTTGAGAATGTGACTAAGAGATGACGAGACGGGAGAAGCGAGTGGGAGGCAGTGTAATGTTGGACATACAGCCAGTACTCACTGAAGGAACTTGGTGACGTTGTGGAAGTGTAGGAAGTAGCGTGAGAGGGCGCGGACGTCGGGGTTGGCTGAACCCTGGAAGATACCTGACCAGAAGTCACTGTATCCGCCCACCTGAAGCTCACTCTGTTGTCACAGACAATACTTGGTAGGGAGTCTACATAGTGTGTATAGTCACCTATATGTGGATGCAGGGGTCGATTCACAGCTCCTGACCCCCTCCTCTTCGCTGGTCGCTACTAGGTCCACTCTCTCCCCTTTACATGAACTTTATCGAACCTCTTCTTAAAGCTATGTATGGATCCTGCCTCTGCTACATCACTCTCCAGACCGTTCCACTTCCTGACAACTCTATGACTGAAGAAATACTTCCTAATATTCCTGTGATTTATCTGCATTTTCAACTTTCAGTTGTAACCCCTTATTGCTGTATCCCATCTCTGAAACAGTCTGTCGCTATCCACCTTGTTAAATTCTCTCAGTATCTTATATGTCGTTATCATGTCCCCCTGTCTCTCCTGTCCTCCAGCGTCGTCACCTATATGTAGTTGCAGGGGTCGATTCACAGTTCCTGGCCCCCGCCTCTCCATTGGTCGCTACTAGGTCCACTCTCCCTGCTCTAAGAGTGCGTGAGTGCCCACCATATGTTGTGTATGTGGGAGTGCGTGTATTTGTGCCATGTAAGATTTATTGCTATGTTGGTGTGGGTGGGTCAGGAGGTGGCGTATCTGGGAAAGTTGGTGTGGGTGGGTCAGGAGGTGGCGTGTCTGGGAAAGTTGGTGTGGGTGGGTCAGGAGGTGGCGTGTCTGGGAAAGTTGGTGTGGGTGGGTCAGGAGGTGGCGTGTCCGGGAAAGTGTGTGCTGCTTGACATTTATTGGGAATATCACACATGTATTTTCTTCTCGCGGACCAGACATGAAACAACAATCTTGTTATCAGATGAAGTATTTTATTAAAGGTGTCTATAATAAACATTGACAGACCACTTAAATGTTGTTTGTGAGAACGTGAATATGAAGACACATAATAATAATAATAATTATTATTATTATTATTATCATTATTATTATAACTTTTATTTGAACATGATACATAGTTGTGCAAGGGATTATAGTGGTTGGGTGTACATACCAAAAGCCCCTTGTATGCAGAGCATTATGGACAGGCTTAAAATTAACTTAAGATTAACTAAGCACTGATATATTCAGCGGTAAAAATAAAAGTAAACAAATTACAACATGAAGTACAAATGAGTATTTTAAACAAGAAAATTTGAACATTTCAATTAGGAAGCATTATAGTTGAACAAATTTGTAGCATAACAATGTATAACAAAATGGTCAATTTACTAAATGTAGTCATACAATTTATTAATCCGATCAAATCAAATAAAATCAATGATTTGTAGTGCAGAAACAGGTAATATAGTCATTAGATGAGTGTGCATTCAAGAGAATGGAGAAGAATGGAGTATTTTATTAGGTAATGTAATTAAAAAAAAACATAATTTGATAGGGTCACAGGTTATACATTCATGAGATACAGTTATTCAGTATTTATCTAGTTGTGGTTGAGTAAGTGGTTTTTAAGAAGTCTTGAATTGATAAACAGTACAGTCGACCCTCAACTAACGGTGGCATTAAGTCTCTTGTAACGGCAATTTCGTATAGCAGCGCTTTTTGCTGTAGAAAAAATGCCTTAACCAACGGCGAAAATCTTAACCAACAACATTTGTCCGGAACGTGCCGATGTGCCCGGAGTGCGGCCTGAGCGGGCCCAGCCACTCCAAGAGTCAGTGTGCCATTGTTTACAAGCTGTTGCGGTTGGTTTCCACGTGTGCCTCCCATATATTTTGGATTATTCCACTATTTCTAGTGCTTGTAACTGCTAAATAAGCCACCATGGATCTCAAGAAAGCTAGTGTCAAGCCTGTGTTAAAAAGGGTGAGAATTACGATGGAAATGAAGGAGATCACTGAAAAATATGGGAGTGGAGTGCATATGGCTGAGTTGGAAAGGCAATACAACAAATCACATTCAACCATCAGTACTATCTTGGTGAACAGACAGGCAGTCAAGGAAGCTGTTGTTGCGAAAGGTTCAAGTATGTTTACAAAATGGAGACCACAAATACAGTGGACCCTCGACCAACGATGGCATCGATTAACAATAAATCCGACTAGCGATACATTTTAACGCAAAAATTTTGCCTCGACTAGCGCTAAAAAACTCGACCAATACTATTCGTTCCGTCTGAGACGCGTCCACTTCTGGCCAGTGTTTACAAGCCAGCCAGCCACCGCAGTCACTTCCAAGCATACAATCAGAACATTTCATATTATCACAGCCTTTTTAGTGAATGTACCTGCAAAATAAGTCACCTTGGACCCCAAGAAAGCTTCTAGTGCCAACCCTACAGCAAAAAGGGTGAGAATTACTTTGGATGTGAAGAAAGAGATCATTGCTAAGTATGAAAGTGGAGTGCGTGTCTCCGAGCTGGCCAGGTTGTACACAAAACCCCAGTCAACCATCGCTACTATTGTGGCCAAGAAAACGGCAATCAAGGAAGCTGTTCTTGCCAAAGGTGCAACTATGTTTTCGAAACTGAGATCGCAAGTGATAGAAGATGTTGAGAGACTGTTACTGGTGTGGATAAACGAAAAACAGATAGCAGGAGATAGCATCTCTCAAGCGATCATATGTGAAAAGGCTAGGAAGTTGCATGAGGATTTAATTAGAAAAATGCCAGCAACTAGTGGTGATGTGAGTGAATTTAAGGCCAGCAAAGGTTGGTTTAAGAGATTTAAGAATCGTAGTGGCATACATAGTGTGATAAGGCATGGTGAGGCTGCCAGTTTGGACCAAAAAGCAGCTGAAAAATATGTGCAGGTGTTGAGAAATGGTATTACCAGCTAAGCTTATACATTTTGTATAGGGAAAACTTAACTTAGAAAGACAGCTCATCGCCTGCACAGCCGCCCCTGCAGACGAGGTCTTGAGAAGCTGTCGAAGTCATTCCTCAACGGGCTGAAATGAGTTATAATTTGTAAGATTATAAATTACCCCTAGGGGGTGTTATGTCAGCATATTTCATTCACTGATTGCTGACAAATTACGTACTTGTTTGGACTCAAAAGTCTGCACCTTACTGCCGACTATAGGTTGATTACAAACTCCTTGCGACTCAAGAACTGCGCAGTCCCCCGTACTACAAAAAATTTCCCGTAACCTACCTTGCTCTTGTAGCGTGAGCTATGGTTTTTTTTCACACCTTCGACAGATATCGGTGACCTGATAGAAGCTGAAGTGTCCTTGGATGTCCACGTCTTCCATAGTCTAGGAATACGCACACTGGTACACTATGTTCCACAAGATTTGTCTTTATTGTTCACAATCTTATCACTAAAGAAGCTGATCACACTTCTCTTAAGTGTTTATTGTGTTTTATGAGATACTTTGTTCACACTAATGCACAGATCAGTGTTCTTTGTTGGTTATCCTGGCGTCAGTGTCACTCTCAGTAGAGTCAAAAGTAATCTGTAGATGCCACAGCGCCCCACGCCGTCACTGCCCCCAGCACAAAGGAAAAGCTGACCTAGTACTTTTTGCTTCCTTGCCGCTTCCTCCATGAAGCAAAGCAGAATGTTTGTTTCTTGCTGTCTTAAGCATAGATAACAATGTACACTATCTTTACCATGGTAATAAAGTGGGAGTAGGATTTTCCTTAATTGTCCTGTTAAGGTAAGAGATGAACTGTCTTTTATTAAGCTACACTTTGCAACACAGGGCCGCAAGGAGCATTGACTCACGTTGCATACTGGTACTGCATCTGGGATCAATTACTGCTGTAGCAGTAAACAAGATGCTTGCCCCTTCTGAGAGGGCTGGGCCCCTCAGGGCTGAAAGGGGCTGAAGGGGGCTGATACCCCCCTCCTGGAGAAAATTTCTCCACACAGGAATTCAAGGAGTACATAGACAGTGAAGAATTGAAACCTGAACAAGTGTTTAATTGTGACACTGACAATATTGTGAAACACTTTAGGAATGTCATAAAGGAACGGGAGGTACAGGCCTCTATGGACAGATATGTTGTGCGACAGAGGTCCAGTGACTCTCAAGCTGGTCCTAGTGGCATTAAAAGAAGAAGGGAAGTAACCCCAAAAAAGGACTTGCCACCTCAAGTCCTAATGGAAGGGGATTCCCCTTCTAAACACTAACACCATCAACACTCTCCCCTCCTCCCATCCCATCAATCATCACCAGATCTTCAATAAAAGTAAGTGTCATGTAACTGTGCATGTCTTCTAAAGTTTGTGTGTATTAAAATTAATATTTCATGTGATCAGTCTTGGGCCCGTTGTTGTTTATAATATATATCAATGATCTTGATGAGGGAATTACTAGTGATATGAGCAAATTCGCCGATGACACAAAGATAGATAGGATAATTGATTCAAACGTAGATGTTATGGAACTTCAGGAGGATTTAAACAAACTCTATTCTTGGTCAGAAAAGTGGCAGATGCAGTTCAATGTAGATAAATGCAAGGTTCTGAAGCTTGGGAGTGCCCATAACCCTAGTACTTATAAGTTAAATGATGTAGAACTTAGCCATACAGATTGCGAAAAGGACTTGGGGGTTATGGTGAGCAGCAACCTTAAACCCAAGACAGCAATGCCTAAGCGTACGTAATAAGGAAAATAGATTATGGGATTTATATCAAGAAGTGAAAGCAACAGAAGTCCAGAGGTCATACTGCAGCTTTATACATCATTAGTAAGGCCTCACCTAGATTATGCAGCTCATTTTCTGGTCTCCGTATTACAAAATGGACATAAATTCGTTAGAAAACATTCAGCGTAGGATGACTAAATTAATACATAGCATAGAAATCTTCCTTATGAAGAAAGTTTTGAAGACTTTTAAAGTTACATTCACTTGTTAGACGAAGAATGAGGGGAGACCTGATCGAAGTGAAATAAGGGGGAAGATAGTATTAATAAAGGGGATATTAATAAGGTCTTGAGGATGTCTCTCCAAGAGAGAACCCGCAGTAAGGGATTTAAATTAGAAAGTTTAGATTTAGAAAGACATAGGAAAGTATTGGTTTGGAAATAGAGTAGTTG